TCTCTCTGAAGTAAATAAATAAAATCTTAAAAAAAAATTTTTTTTAAACTTAAAAAGATTTTTTAAAAATTTAAAAAATTTGCCTTCAGAAAAGGCAAATCTATAAAGATAAATAGTAGATTAATACTTGCCTGGGCATGGGGTTGGGGAAACAGATTAACTACAGATAAGCCCTGGAGATCGTTTTGGGGTTGGTAATACCTGCATAAGTCTGTAAATGTAGTAAAAATCATTCATTAAAATGTACACTTAAAGCAGGTCAATTTGGGGGCGCCTGGGTGGCTCAGTGGGTCAAAGCCTCTGCCTTTGGCTCAGGTCATGATCCCAGGGTCCTGGGATCGAGCCCCCACGTGTGGCTCTCTGCTCAGCAGGGAGCCTGCTTCCCTTCATCTCTCTCTGCCTGCCTCTCTGCCTACTTGTGATGTCTGTCAAATAAATAAATAAAATCTTTAAAAAATATATTTAAAAAAAGGTGAATTTTATAATATGTAAATTATACTAAAAATTTCCTAAACTTAGACACGTGTGTACACACACACATACACACACATACACATACACATTCACTCCAAGAATTCCAGAATGGCACAAAACTTAGGCAATTTTGTTTCTAAAACAGGAATGGAAGAAATTTTGACAGTCCAGAACAAGATACAGGCCTCCACATTGCCTATTATTTTGAAATGTCATTGAAAAAGATTCTCCTATTTTGGAATCCTATTTGTATTCATGAGGAAGAAAAGAACCATGGTACAATGATGTATATTGTGTGCAAAAGGGAAAAGTTTGTAAAGGGGGCCCAAGTCCAAGATTATTAATACCAGGAGCAAATGCTTCAGAACCCAAACACTGAGGATGTTAATAACTTTAACTATATGACTTATCGTTTGTGATTCTTGTTAACTCTGGAGTGAAATAATATGATCACATCCTGCCTAAGATTTAAATATAATGACAATTATTAATAATGCCATGTAGTACAATGTGTGTGCCATTTCTCTTCAGTTTTATTCAAGTTAATAAATCAATGAAATCATATTTAAATTTGTTTGGTTTTTGGGTAATTTGCTTTCTTCTCATTTTTGCACTTGATTTTTACTCTGCAGAATCTTGATGTTTCAGTAAATCTTCCAAGTTGAAAGCATTGACTCAACATTTTCCCCCCTAAGAAGAAGAATACTGAGAATGAATAGGACATTAGATTATGGAGCAAAGTGTCTGGGTTTGTGATAGCTGTGTTTTTTGGCTCATCAATTTAATGCAGATGGTTTTGAAGACTGTAATAAGTGTCTGTTCTTTTGTTCTAAATAGCAAAATGAAAAGGTTGAGTAATCAAAATTTATTATTGAAATTAGTGTAGTCTATCTCTCTGAATGCAGTAGTAGATTATTTTGAGACAAAACACTGCAGATTTGTTGGGGAAAATGAATACATTTTTGTGTATATAGAATTCCCCGCTGTTTTACTTTAAACTGGATGATTTTTGAGGAAACTTCCACAAGAATTACTTTATAATTCTATGCCATGGTAGACATTCAACACTCATTACAATTTTATACCATGGCATACACTTCAACACTCAATTACATTTCCTTGCCATTTTGCATGCAAAGTATATTCCTGCCTCAGGGCCTTTGCACTTGCTATTCTCTATGCTTGATAGATCATTCCCTAGATGGTCATGGCCCACTGCTGCATTAATTCCCTGCTCAAATATCACTTCCTCAGAACAGCCTTCCCTGATTAGCCCATCTAAAAATAGCACACCATCACTCTTCCTTTAGCCTGCTTTTTCTTTGCAGCACTCAACACTGTCTGACCTTACATGCTTGCCTTATTCACTAGAATGTAAGGTCCATGAAGGCAGGGACCTCATCAGTATTGTTCCTTGCTGTATTGCTGTAGCCCCAACAATGGTCCATATTTGCTCAAGACATACTTGTTGAAATTAATTGAATAAATTGCAATTTGACTTTAAATGTTTACCTCTTTTTCCCTCCCTAACCAGGCAGTAAATTCATGGATGGCAGCCAAAGACCCTGGCTGTTTATTTATCCTCTCTAAAGCAAATAGCTCGTTCTGCATGGATGATAGACATTTAAGATTTACTGAAAGAATGTTATGAAACATGGATGTGTTATGGGGCTAAGTAGTCAGCATTCCCTCCAGGTGAACTAACAGTAATGTCTTGCCTCACAGCCTGCATTTCATAGAGTTCTTTTATTTATATTAACCCATTTGATAATTTTGCCAATACTTTCGTAGTTTTTAGGTTTGCTTAAATAAATGGGCTATCAAATATAAAAAATGTTAATTTCTGGTTAGAACTATTACTAACTTTGACTACTTTATTTTTGGCTTAGATATCAGTGGCATTTAATATGTTCTTGGACATCTGAAAAAACACATTTTAAAGACTGGATAGCATTTAAAATAAGTAAGTAAAAATAAAAAAGCCTATCTTGACACATAACATGCAGGGACAGGTTTTTGGAAATGTTTTAACAAAGTCTTCAAGGGGATTATTTCTATATGGTGGGGCCTTGATAATGTCTACATTTTTCAGCTTTCCAATTTACTTTGGCTTTTCTTTTTTTCTTGACCAACTGAGCCACCAGGCGCCCCTCTTGTTTTTTTTTTTTTAAGATGTATTTATTTATTTTACAGAGAGAGAATGGGAGAGAGAGAAAGCTCACACAAGCCAGGGGGAGTGGAAGAGAGAGAGCAGGCTCCTCGCTGAGCAGGGAGCCCTAGCGAGCCTCCATCTCAGGACCCTGGGACCATGACCTGTGCCAAACGCAGACGCTTAACTGACTGAACCACCCAGGCACCCCGCTCTTGTTTGATTTTTGAAACAAATTTGAAGTCATCAAACAAACCTGTTTCTTTTCTTTTTTTTTAAATATATTTTTTATTTTTAGGTAATCTCTACACTCAACCTGGCGCTAGGAATCCAAACCCAGAGATCAAGAGCTGGGCAACCCAAAAGAAACCCGTTTCTATACAACGCTTTATGTTTGTATAATTTGTCAGTGTGAATAGCCTTAAAAATACCACTCATTTTCCTGGCTTTCTAATTCTCAGTATAGAGCAAATTTTATTCTGAGGATACTTTTAATATTAATTCATAGTAAATCAGCAACAAATAGGATAAACCAAATTTCTATTTAGGGTTTTTTGGGGTGTGCTTTCCTGTTTATGGCCATGTTATTCCTTCAGAAGAAAAATGGTAGAGCAATGCTTCCGAATTTGACCAGTATTTTTTCATCTTTGCCCCAAATCCCAAACTTTCCAGGATACTGAGCTCCCAAAGTAGAAGGCCAAAATCGGGCATCAGAGCCTCATTCTAGACTTTGGACCAACCTCAGAGAGCACAGAGGAAACGTGCTCACTCATTTTTTTTCTCTTTATGATTTAAAATACTTAAAATTCCCCTTTCCTTGTCGTTTATTGGGAATTGGGATTGGGAAGACATGCAAATAACCACTTTATGGAAAATCTCTCTACTTATGCCAACGACATGGTCTTCATTTTAGGCTTAAAAGGTTTTGGGTTTTCTTAAACTTAATTCTGTACCGACGAGAGCTTTCCATGGCTGCTGATGCACCCCGGGGCAAGTGAGGATTCTTTCCACACCAAGCAGCATGTGTACCTGCTTCCTTGTCTGTGCATCCGTGCGCGTCCCTGTGTGCGTGTGTGTGTAAAGCGGGTTTTGGGTGTGTGCAGGTGGTTCTGAGCCCATGGCGTGCACGCTCAACGAAGCAGCACGTCCAGCCACGCGGGCGGGCGCAGGCTTCCCCAGTCTGGGCTGGGGTAGGAGAAGATCCGCCTCGGCCTGCTGCTCCAAAACCCCACGAGGACGCAGCGTTGCGGGCCCGGGAGACAGCGAGGGTGCCCGCGCAGCCCACGTCCATGCAGGGTCCAGGGCACATGCTCGAGGATGGGTTACGTTTTCTTCCCCCCACCGCTCCCCCGCCCGCCCCAGGCGGGCTTGGAGCGGAGATCTCGGGAGGGGTCGCGAGAGCGGAGGGTGTCCCCGAGGCCGCTGGGTGGGGGAGGGGACGATGTGGAGGCGGCGCCTCCCACAATCCATTCGCTGCGGAGCCGGCCGGCGTCCGGCCGGCCTCTCCCGGTTTCAGAGACCGGGAACCCAGACCAGGGACAGCGCGCGCATCAAGGGTGCCTGGACGCTCAGGTACATGCGGCTCCTTCTTCAGATGGCGCGGGGACGGTTGGGCCAGGCGGTTGTGGCCCCCGCCGCGCCGCACCGCGGCCTCTGTGACGCACGGCGCGGCCGCCGGGGCTGACCCGGTAGCGCGGCGCGGCGGGGGCGGGGCGAGTGCGGGGGCGGGGGCGGGGGCGGGGCGGAGCGAGCGGGGCGGGGCTGCCGGAGGCCCCGCCCCAGGGCCGGAGGAGCGAGGACGCTACCGAGCAGGCGCGTCCCGCCGCCGCCGCCGCGCCGCCGCCGCCGCCGCCCCCGCTGCCCCCGCTGCCCCCGCCGCCGCCGCCGCCGCCGCCGCCGCTGCCGCCGCCGCCGCCCCCGCTGCCCCCGCCCCCGCTGCCGCCGCTGCCGCTGCTGCCGCCGCTGCCGCTGCTCGCTCTATTCCGCAGCCGCCGCCGCCGCCGCCATTTGCACGGGGACCCCCAGTGACAGGGGCTCGGCGGAGGGGCGGAGGGAGGGGGGGGGAGGGCCCGCGGAGCCCCCGAGGGCGGGAGCGACGCCGCCGGCGCAGGCCGGGTTCCCTGCGCGACCGCGCCGCCCGTGGCGGGCCCCGAGCAGCAGTAGCAGCAGTAGCAGCAGCGGCAGCAGCGGCAGCAGCGGCAGCAGCAGCAGCAGCAGCAGCAGCAGCCGCCGAGGCCGGGCGTGCGCCTGAGGCGCGGCGGCGGCGGCGGCCCTGCGGGCGGCCGGGAGGGGCGGGGGCAGCGGCCGCCGCCGTTTGATGGATCCGAGGATCGCCTGGTTCCAGCCAGAGCAGCTCGGACCGTCCAACAGTCTGTGGATGCAGATCTGGGAGACGACCCAGGGGCTGAGGAACCTCTACTTCAACCACCACTGTCACAGCAGCGGCGGCGCGAGCGGCGGCGGCGGCGGCGGCAGCAGCACGGCCACCGGCGGGAGCGGCAGCAGCACCGGCAGCCCCGGCGGTGCGACCCCGGCCCCGGCCCCGGCCCCGGCCGGCATGTACCGCTCCGGGGAGCGCCTGCTGGGCGGCCACGCGCAGTCCGCGGAGCAGCGGGACTTCCTGCCCCTGGAGACGACCAACAACAACAACAACCACCACCAGCCAGCGGCCTGGGCCCGCCGGGCCACCGCGGGCCCCTCGGCGTCCCCGTCCCCCTCCGCGTCCTCGTCTCCACACTCCTCCGCCGCGGTCCCCACCGCGGATCCCGCGGACCCGGCCTCAGGCAGCAGCAACAAGAGGAAGCGCGATAATAAGGCCAGCACCTACGGACTCAACTACAGCCTGCTGCAGCCCAGCGGAGGGCGGGCCGCGGGGGGCGGCCCGGCCGACGGCAGCGGGGGCGTGTACAGCGGGACACCGTGGAAGCGGAGGAACTACAACCAGGGAGTCGTGGGGTGAGTGGTGGCCCTGCGGCCTGGTGGCCTGGCCCTTGCACACGCGCAGCCGGGCACACGCCCACAGAAGGTGAATTGGGGGAGCCTGGGCGAGGCCACCCCTTTCGGCCTGCCTTCGTTGCCGCTTCCCGGGGGGATGATGGCCTTACCTCCATCCCTCCACTATCCATACCCCCCCCCCCCCCCTCCTTAGCGGTCCACACCTTTTCCTTCTTCCCCTCAGCCTTCCAGGCCTTTTCTGGACATCCCCTTAGCCATCCACATCCTTCCCTCACCTCCCTTAGTCATCCACACTCTCCCCACCTTTCCTGGCCCCCTTATCCATCTGTTCTTTCCTCCCATCCCCCCAGTCAAACATGCCTTCCCCTCTCCCCCCTCCAGCCCTCCCCATCTTGCTCCCCATCAGCACACCCCAAAATGAAGTCTATTAGCACAGGCAAATCATTGATTCCCTGAGAACATTCCTGTGTTAGTGCCTTTCGGTGGTATAGGACCTGGAGGTGCTTTCCTTGCCAAGAATAGAAACATCCAGAAAGCTCCTCCCCCTCCCCCAATCCCAAACAGGAATCATGTCAGCCCTGTAAGGTTTTGCCTGCTGTTGACCCTTTTGCCCATCTTTTAGTTTTCTATTTAAAATAAATTTTTGGTATTAGCAATGCCTTTTTCTGTGGGGATTGAGAAATAGGGTGACAGCTAAGTTTAGGCTGGAGGAGATAGTGAGCTCTTCTGAGGCCAATGGAACTTTCTAGGAGTTCAGGAGCCTCGGCTCCAGCTTCTCACTGTTAGGTGTCATCCTGGCAGATAAGCCAATGCTTTTCATTCTAGAGGGGTAGGCTCATGCTAATGAGTGGATGTTGCACCATTAATGACTTTCTGTATAAAGTTCAGCTGTTACAAAATGGAATCTTACCTGGTCCTTGGTGAACTACGGACATAAGCAGGGAATGTTTCCGGCTAGATAGCCCTTCTAGAAGAGCCCCTGTGAAGGAATAGGTTACGGAGCCTTTTTTTATTTTGTAAAATAAAAATTTGGGCTGTGTGTGTGTGTTTAGCTTGATATGGAGGATGAGCTTTCAAATTATTTTTCATTTTTCAGATCCTGTTTTACACTGGGGGCTACAGTAGGCAAATGCAATACCATAAGTAATCCTTTGTGAAACATTTTAGTATATTCACTCATTCAGATCTGCCCTACTTTGGCAAGCACAGACAGTTCTGTGTACCTTTTTGGAGGTCTGGGTAAAATGAGTTGGTGGGTTCCATCTGCTTCTAGTGGGCTGGTGTCTGCTAGATGCTACTATTCCAAATCCCACCTTTTATGGAAAACGCAGTCAAGCGTTTTAGGACTGGCGCTGGGTTACATGTCAAACCCATCCTCACTTTCCAGAGGGGAACCTTTTAGAGTTGAGTCCTCTGTTGCTAAGCTTCAAGGGCGCTCTCCATGGTCATCACGTTTTAATAAAAGGCTCATGGGTTCTATCCTGTTAGCATTTCCAAGACCGAAGCATAGACCTGTGGTTTAGCAACAAGCCAGTTGATATCTAAAGGTTCTGGTAGTTTCATTTCGCAGAAATAAGCTCCAGTTAAGTAATCACTGTCAACTAAAACCTTGAAGTTCCCTAGTTTCGTTTTGCTGAAGCTTCTGCATATGTGTCTGGCTAAGACAGGTAATAAATCCAAAACAGGCTGCTTTTCTTTTTGACAGATTAGAAATGGTCTTCTCCTCTACTTGCTGATTAATGTTAGGGATACTGTAAAGGTTCACATTTGAACTTATGTAGAGACAGGATGTTGTTATTCCTGATTCAAATATATTGCCCTCAAGGGGATTAAGGAATTTCCATTTCCCAGAGGTATTACTGATTGTAAACCCGTTTTTAAAACTTTATCACTTCCTAAGACTTTCCATTCTTCTGCCTTTTCTTTTAGAGGATGTCAGTAGTAAAATTTTCTATGTTCTTAAGCAGTTTTTGGAAGAGTGTCTGAGTTTAAAGATTCTTGTTTTGATTTGTAGATCCTTGTCTTGACTTTTACAGTAGTTTTGCTATTTTTAGTACAGGTATTTAAAAATCTAAATTCACAGTGCACCTCAATGTTACGCTGTTCTGAGATTAAATTTAGTAAAACTGTTAGTAACATTCTAATTTCTGGGGACTGACGTTTAGCTAATAGGTCAACAAATTGTAGTGGTTCCTGGCCTCTGCACTGACTCAAGTCCAGATAGGGAGAGGAGTAGAAGGCATATGAACCATGGACTGGAACTGTGGGACGGCTGTAAACATGCATTCTCTCCCATCTTCTTTGGTCTCTGTGTTCTCTGCCCCAGCCAGACTGGTTGACATACTCCCTGAACACTCCCAAGATACAGTTCAAAATCCTGACTTCTTTGTTGTCCAAATCCTTCATTTTTGTGGTTCCTCTTTTCAACTCTTGAATTACTTGCTTCCCACTCTTGCTATAGCCTGCCTCTGTTTATTTTTCCTCTCTTATATATGTTTTCTCTAACCTACTAGGTCACAAGTTAGGATGGAATTTTTTTTTTCTAAGATTTTATTCATTTAGGGAGGGTGCACAGGAGTGGTGGGGAGGGGCAGAGGGAGAGACTGCATGCTGAGTGTGGAGCCCCACGCAAGGCTCAATCCCAGGACCCTGAGATGACAACCTGAGGAGAAATCCAGAGTTGGTTACCAGCTGAGCAACCCAGGGGCTGCCAAGATAGAAATTTTTCTTTCTTTCTTTCTTTCTTTTTTTTTTAAAGATTTTATTTGTATTTGAGACAGAGAGAGACCACAAGCAGAGGGAGAAGCAGGCTCCTCGCTGAGCAGGGAGCCCAATGTAGGGCTTGATCCCAGGACCCTGGGATCATGACTTGAGCCAAAGGCTGACGCTTAACTCACTGAGCCACCCAGGCGTCCCATCCATCCATCCATCCATCTATCTATCTATCTATCTTTCTTTCTTTCTTTCTTTCTTTCTTTCTTTCTTTCTTTCTTTCTTTTTAAAGACTTACTTTATTTACTTGAGAGAGAGTGTGTGCATGAGCAGTGGGGAGGGGCAGAGAGAGAGAGAGAGAATCGCAAGCAGACTCTGTGCTGAGCACAGAGCCCAATGCAAGGCTTTGTCTCTTGACCCTGAGATCATGACCTGAGCTGAAGTCAAGAGTTGGATGCTTAACTGACTGAGCTTACTTAAATGTAGAGTAAGATTTGGATTTCATCCTGTAGCCTTCATATTCTCTTTCAAAATTAAATCCAACTGGGGGTGCCTGGCTGGTTGAATCCTTGGAGCACGTGACGCTTGATCTTGGGGTTGTGTATTCGAGCCCCATTTTGGGCAGACAGATTACTTAAAAGTAAAATTATTATTATTTTTTTTTAAGATTTTATTTATTTATTTGACAGACAGAGATCACAAGCAGGCAGAGAGGCAGGCAGAGAGAGAGAGGAAGGGAAGCAGGCTCCCCGCTGAGCAGAGAGCCCGATGTGGGGCTCGATCCCAGGATCCTGGGATCATGACCCGAGCCGAAGGTAGCGGCTTTAACCCACTGAGCCACCCAGGCGCCCCTTAAAAGTAAAATTAAAAAAAAAATTAAAAATCCGCTCACCACCTCAGCCTTCAACGTGTATGCACAGACTCAGAGTTTGCTCGTGTTCCTTTTTTTTTTTTCTTTTTAAAGTTGCTTTCACCATCTATTTCTTGGAATTCTTTCCCCTCCAAGGCTGGCTGTGGTGTAGGAAGCAGTCCACCTGCTCTTTCTGGTTGTCCGTGAAAATGAGCCATAAGCCCTTTTCAAAGATTTGTTGATGGCCATAGAGGAAGAGATGATGTCAAAAAAGTAGTGAACGCAGTTACCTTCTGGGGATTCAGAGTCCTTGGTTTTGAGCCCCCTTGTGTCTAGAAAGTTCTTGTGGAAGGTGCTGGGAGCTTGTCCAAGCTCATCAGGATGGGTTTGTGTTGGCTGCATTGCCAGATCTGTAGGTATTTTTTTTTTCAAGGCTTGGATGACTTGTTCAAAATAATGTTTTAGAGCATGAATTTGGCTGTGGAACTTTGAGAAGGCCCTGCTGGGAAACTTGGGTTTAAGGAATAATTTCTTGATGGGGGCTCCTGGGGATGGGAACAGTAAAGAATGAGTGAGTGTGAGTGATGCTACAGGGGAGAGTGGAGAGGATCCTAACTGCCTTCCTGGGTTGAATGATCATGCTGTAGCTTTGAACCAGCATGAGGAAACACTGCTGTTATCATTGCAAGTCAGTGGTGGGATGGTCGATTTGGAGTAAAAATACAAGGTGATGTTTAGTTGACTGTCTAGCGGTGAGTTGAAATTTGGGGACCAAGGCGTAGTCTGCTTTGCTGCAGCGGGACAGTGTCCTTCCTGACGTCCACGGTACTCTAGATCGCGGTAAGTCCAGGATGCTGACGCTGTTCTTCAGCAGTGGCATTATGGCCTCTTTCTGCTAATTTCTCCAGCTCTGATCAATAGGATCGCTGTTAATGCTATGCTCCAAAGTAGGTGATCAGGCAGATTAACATGGCATTGAGTATAAAAGAATTTAGAGACCTTATTCTAAGGGCTTGCCCTAAGTATTAATTTCTGTGCATTTGCAAATGTAGCCCACAGTAATTCTTTGGGGGACTAGAACCCTCAGGTCCTTGAACTTTACTGCATTTGATATCAAGAAGACATTAGGTTTCCTATGGATAGATTCTGTACTGTGTAATTCATGTTTGTGGATTTCCTCAAGTTTAGTAGTATAATGTGTTCAACTAAGATACTTCCATGTCACGACTCATCTTTGCCTTAAAATCTGTGACCTGAACACTGTCGCTGTTAGAATCCTTCATGTGTCAGGGTGTGGAGTCCTTTTTTCAAACCCCATTAAGTTTTTAGCTGTTGAGGAACCAGTGAGTGAATAGAGCTTTTTGTAGTCTACCCTGGGTTCACACAGAAGGTTTAAGATACTGCAGTAAAGGAAGGATGGGAAAGAGCTACTAGAAGG